AACGGCGGTTCTTCAAGGACACGCAAGACAGGAGACAGCAAAGCCATCAGACAACACCGGCATACACGTTACCATCGCGCGCGCGCTCATTGGGGAGCGGAGGAGCGTCGCGGACGTCAAGCATTAGGGTGAAGCCGGGTGGAACGTTCGTCTGCGCTAGGCGTAAATCAAAGTGAACTGCTAGGCAGCTTCCTGGCGTTTGCCTTGACTGTCATCGCGATCTGAGCAAGAACATAGCGGGACCGTCCGGGACAGAGCAAGGGACGGGTATTGCCACGAAAGGCGTTGCCCTGGAGAGCAAATCTTGTTCACCCTAGTCTAAAAACGGTGACGCTTCCCTAAGCCCGCAAGGCCGAACTCTCTGCGAGTCCAAGACGCGACAAGCAACCACGAGGCAACGCGTCGGCAAGCCAGGACGAGGAGCCTCAGCAGCCTGTGGAACCAGAGCGAGGAGATACCGAGTCCAGACCAACCACCCACCCGCTGTATTAATAACACGACAATAAAACCCACTGTTACCATTCGAACCCTGCCGATTTTCACTGATCTACGGGGCAGTCACGTCATATAAATTTGGTGGGACGAACACACAATCTTCTGAGCTAACCGCACGAACCCCGTAGCAAGCAGACCAACAAAATCAGTTCGTTACAAGGCTCATGGTCACTTGTTTGTTGCCGATTTGACCTCCACCTCGAGCTGCGCATTAATTCCGTCTGCCAACCTAACTTTCCGTCTCTTCCTTGTAATCCTTCCTAGAGCAGCAATGTTGTCCGCCATTTCTTCGCTAATGAAGCTTGCCGTTGCTCCGGTGTCGATTGTGGCCTTGTAGCTGTTCCCACCAATCATCAGAGCTGTGGACAGCTGCTGCTCCTCCTCGATTAACTTGCCCGTTAGTTTGGAGAGGTAACATTGTGCGATCCCCGCTCGCCTCTCTGCGGCTCCCGATCGTTGGCAGCAATCGACTCTCCTGACACCCACCTTGCCGCATATCCAGCAGAATAACAGCTGTTGGATTCGACACCGTCTAGCCCAGTGTCCGTTCTTACCACATTTCCGACAGTCCTCCTGCGGGTCTGTGATATGGGTGGCATCTTGTGGCCTCTGTGTGTTGCTTGGCGGCCTCCACAATGTATTGTTTGTGTCCATTGGCCTTCGCGTGGTGCGTCTGTTGCCTGCTAAGCCAGACGGCAGCAGTGTGTGGTGGTGACCATTGGTCATTTCCCCGTGCCTCCTGGTTGTCTGTCTCCTCGCATCTTCTGCATGTGACCTGCGTTGGTGATGCCGACTTGGTCTTCGAGAACTTATTCTCCTGTGCGAAGGCTTTCCGTTTTTTTCGAGTTCTTCATACTCATCAGCTAGGATCATAAGGAAGATCCTTAGACTTGGGGTGCAGTTCTCTTTTATGATTCTTAATGTCTCTTTCGTAGAATAGCTATGTTGCCTCGCCATCGTCTGCATGTCGACTATGTAGTCCTTGAACGACTCGCTGAAGCCCTGCTTCCGTTGCCGGACCTGGTCTGTCAGCCTGGTGAAGAAATCTCTCAGCAGAAAATAGATGTGGAAGCTTTCTATGATCTCCGCCCATTGTTTGTTGTTGGCGATGAACCATTTCAAAGCCCTTCCCCTAAGCAATTCCGGCATCGTTCGGGGGACCATATCTAAGTCCAAGCCGTACGTGTTGGCAGACCATTCTACCTGCTCCAGGAACTCAAAAGGTTTTTCCACCCCGTCGAACCTGAATGGTCGCGAATGGTCGCGCTGACCTGTTTAGCGGTCTTTGCATAGTCCGACTGGCTGGGTCTCGAGGTCAGCGCTGCTGTTAATCTATATTGGCTCTCCTGTGGGCCTCTGTTTGCAAGTTGTCAATGCTCAGGTTTGCCACTTGGTTGTCCCCTTCAGCGTTCGTTAACATGATGCTTGGGCCGGCTCTGTCGTGGTATGTTGCTTCCAGCTCGGCCCAGATGTCGACGAGTTGTGGGTCGTTCTCCGTTTCTGAGTAGTATTCCGACAGTGCCTTCCTCATGTCGTCTAGCCTGCCCTTCAAGGCGATATTAAGCCTCTGTGCGACATGGGTGAAGTCCTCCTTTCTAAGGCGGTAAATCCACATCTTTCCCTTTCCAACGGTGGGGAGTTGGGACAATCACGTTGGGCTGCAGATGTAACGAACTGATTTTGTTGGTCTGCTCGCTACGAGATTCGTGCGGCTAGCTCAGAAGATTGTGTGTTCGTCCCACCAAATTTATATGACATGACTGCCCCGTAGATCAGTGAGAAAACACAGGGTTGTTATTACTACAGCGGGTGTGTGGCTGGGCTGGCCTCGGTATCTCCTCGCTCTGGTTCCACAGGCTGCTGATGTTCCTCGTCCTGGCTTTTCGGCGCGTTAACTTGACGACCGCTGGCTCCTGTGTCTCGGGATGCTCGTAGTGGCCGCCTATGCTCGCTTGCCGACGCGCTGCCTCGGGGTCGCTTGTCGCGCCTTGGACTCGCAGAGAGTTCGGCGTTGCGAGCTTAGGGAAACGTCACCGTTCTCAGACTACGGTGAACAAGCCTTGCTCTCCAGGGCAACGCCTTTCGAGGCAATACCTGTCCCTTGCTCTGTCCCGGATTGTCCCGCTAGGTTCTTGCTCAGATCGCGATGACAGTCAAGGCAAACGCCAGGGAGCTGCCTAGCAGTTCACTTTGTTTAAAGCCTAGCGCAAACGAACGTTCCACCCGGCTTCACTTTAATGATTGACGTCCGCGACGCTGCTGCGGTTCCCAATGAGCTCCGCGCGGTGATGGTGACGTGGCTGCCGGTGATGTCTGGTGGCATCGCCGATGTCTTCTGCTCTGTCTCCTGTCTTGCGTATCCTTGGACAACCGACTTTCCGGGACTCGCCGAACCGCAGTGCTTCTCCAGGACAACGCCTCTTGAATGCCTCAACGGGTTGATCGCTCGCCCATCCTGACTGGTAGCTTGGCGTTTCCGGCACTCGGGGCTTTGGGCAGTTGCTGTTCGGGGACTTCGCCGGTAATCGCAGAGCTCTCCACGACAACGCCACTTGAAACCACAAATCATTACACAGCTCTTCCTTCGCGCCAGGTCCTGTTGGTCGGACAAGCTATGCTGGGTCTTAGACATCCCCCCCCCCCCCAAGTTCACGGTCTGTTCACTTTGTTATCTTGGCTGAACTTCATGGTTTAACACCTCGTGATCGACTGATCCAGCTGCCAGCGCTCTTCGGGCTTATATAGGGCCTCTGGGAACCGTTATTTCCCTTTTGCGCACGGCTCGCTAAATCTCTCCACTCAGGGTCCAAAGTCCGTGACTCCTGTTTGACTCACTTGTCCTTCACGTACCGCTTCCAACCGAGGTTCTGCCCACTGCTGCCGTCCTGCTGGTTCTTCTTGGCACTTCTTCTCCCAGTCATACACGTTACTCTTGCTCTGCCCGCCAAGTCTCCACTCTCTCATTTTCCGCTCCTTGGTCTCCATCCTTGGTCTCCAAACTCTCTTATTCTCCCACATTGGTCTCGAGACTCTCTTATTCTCAATCCTTAGTCTCCAAACTCTCTCATTTTCTACACTTAATCTTCAAACTCTCTTATTCTCCATCCTTGGTCTCCAAACTCTCTTCTTCTCTAAGCGATCCTCGCCGCGCCGTTACTACGCGAATTCGCCGCGTATCTGGTAAGCGGCCGGCCATCTGTTGCTGCTGTTGCTTAGATTTCTGGGGAGTTATTAAACTCCTTTATGGGCATATGTTTAAAAAATTCGTTTTACTTGTTTATTTGTTTATTTACCTTTTAGAGCTGTGCATAACCCTTTGCAAGGTTTTTTTTGGCAAAAAACATTTCATCATCCACTTTCGGCTAACGGAACCCATTGAATACCTTCAAAATTTACGTAGTTGAAACTAAGATCAATGCACAAAATCTTAAACTTAATGTAACACTTACGTGACTGTGTTACATTAACTTAAAGAAACGATTAAAGTTACTCTGCTGCGCACAATTTAAAGCAAGGAAGAACGCTATAGTCGAGTACCTCGACTATCAGATACCCGGTACTCAGCTAAAGGGACCAAAGGGAAATGGAGATATGCAAGCAGCAAAGCGAGATTAAAATGCGCCACCTACCGGAGGTAGACAGATTTAAGCGTTATGGGCGTTAGAGTGGCGTGTCAATTATTTTTTTTAATTAATCGATAGGTATTGACGAGACTAATACATTTCAGTTAAAAATTTTTATCTAGCATGAAAATTGTGGGCGTCGCAGGTTTTCGCGGTTTTTGGGCGTTAAAGTGGGCGTGGAAAACTTTTTTTTGGGTTAATCGATAGGTATTGATGAGAACAATACATTTCAGTTAAAATTTTTATTCTAGCATCAAAACTGTAGGAGCCACAGTTTTGGGCGGATTGTGGGCGTTCAAGTGAGCGTGGCACCTTGCTGAAACAAACTTGCGCTGCGCAAAAATCTGCGTGCCAAATCCCGATCGCCAAGCTCTTATAGTTTCCGAGATCTCAGCGTTCATACGGACAAACAAACTGACATACATACATACATACATCGACTCGGCTAGTGATCCTGATAAAGAATGTATACACTTTATGGGGTCGGAAACGCTTCCTTCTGCTTGTTACATACTTTCCGACAAATCTAGTATACCCATTTACTCTACGAGTAACGGGTATAAAAATCACCTAAACTCGTAAAAAAAATTATGAACAAAATACTGGAGTACTAAATCTATTTGCGGAAACAGCCTCCGTCTGAATAGGTACTAGCCGATTTTAGTACGAGGCTTTTATCCTTTTCACACAGAGGGCGTTTCCGCATCAGCGACCAAATTCCGCTTCGACTGCTTTCTCTTTCATAAGAAATATACGTGCTAGAAAGAGACAGAAACAATTTAAGTCAATTCGCTTCAGCGGAAAATGGGATCGCGCACGCGAATCGATTCAGTATTCCAGTGTTTTTATTCAGTATTTTTTTTAAAGAATTTAGGTGATTTCTGTACTTGGCGTTTTAGTATTTTATTGAGAAGTAAATCCGATTGAACTGCAATGGTGTCGTTATATGGAAATTGTTGTTAGTGAAGGCCCATGGAGCCTTCCAACGCATCGAAATCCAGCAATTGATTTGAATAGAAGCATTGTAGTGCTATTTTCTAAGGATATAACAAACCTCAAGCTGATGTCCTTCTTGAAAGACCTGGCCCTATTGCACAAAAACGTACATTTTTTATCTAAAAAAAAGACATTTAAAGAGTCATTAACCTCCCAAAATGGTTGCCTACAATTATTGATTAATATGTTAATTACAATGAATTAACCATTTGACGCTCAACACATTCGACATGTCAGTTTTTAATATGTATTCATTTTTGAGATTTTTTCTATTTTTTTCAGAGCAACTGAACTTCCACGTCCACTCCCTTTGGATACGGTTTGCCTATGCCGATCAGCTGTTCGCTTCAGGAATTTTCTATGTGAGCAAGAATACGATAAAAAATTCAGAGGGTATATAACACCGCTAACTATATCAAAACACGTTAAACATCGGATGCAATTAGAGGCCTAATTTAATAGAGACTTATATACTCTAAAACATATTCGTTTTAAAAAAGGAAGTACTTGAATAGTTCTTAAATGAATTGTAATAAAATAGATTGCATTTAAAATTATGTAAATATATGTATGGGTCAAGAGTGGGTTTCATATCCTTGCATAAGAAGCTAAAATTCAGTAAATTAATAAAATATTTAATATTTCGCGCGGATCATCGACCGAATTCAGCGCAACAGCACCTTGCGCACGAGAGCGGTACTAATGACCATGTCTAAGCTGGTTTCACGTAGTTAGCCATAACTTGTAAAATAACAATGTGATTGGTTCGATTCTACAAATTTAGAGAGGTATTACCAACTTAAATCGGGTTTATTTTACACTAAAACAAAATCAATAAAAATGTGGGCGCCAGGCAGACTTAAGCGTTAAAGAAGATTGTGAGCTTGTCACTCCTTTGAAACAAACTTGCACTTTCTCAGAACCATTAGAACCTGTATGCTTAATCCCAACATCAAGGATTTATAACTCAGCGTTCATAGGAAGGGGCAGACAGACATGGCTAGATCGACTCGGCTAGTGAACACTTCCTTCTACCTGCCGTGCACGTTCCTACTTAAATAGTCGACCCTTTTACTCTACGAGTAACGGGTATAATGGTCGTCGGTTCTATTTTTCAGTGCGGTACTCAGATAAGCTAAGGAAATACCAGAAAAAAACCTGATTTAGCGAATGAGTTTCGATGAACGCCCTTAGCTGCGGCCCAAAGAATAAGAAATTTAATCTTAAGCGGTGTTCGTGCAAAGGCGGTGTGGAAACTATAAATTAAAAACGGAAGGACAATCCCAAAATCGACTGCAGGAGGTCAGTGCAGATGAAATAGGACGCCTAATCCAAGCTGTTGCCCATAATTGTGGGATTTCACCGACAGGAAGCAATACCACAACGGGGCAAATCCGCAGAATAGTTGCAGTGCTGGAGGATATCCCCAAGGGAGTCCCAGTGACATTTTGCCGTGTCCTCGCAAAGAAAGTAAGACCTGACCAAAAGAATTTGGTTGCGTTATATCAATAGAAATATTTTTTTTAGCAGAACCACCCGTATTACGATCGCCGACGACCTCTCCATTAGGACTGCGGATACCACCACCATCAGCTACTTGACAGCTTATGCGGAGCTGGAGGACCCGCTGGCTTCTATAGGGAGGAGGAAAACAGGACGCCCGCTAAGGAACAGTTGTAGAAGCCATTGCCAGGATGCTGGGCGACTTTCTGCAGCATCATGGGACGAGAAGGACGCTTAAAAATACTAATTTTATTTACTAATTTAATTACTATTTTCATTTTAGTTTTTTGCGCACCAGCAGACTCTTCTTTTTTAAATTGCTCCAATTGATTTCTTTTGCGTTTGGCAACAAACCCAACTGCTTGACAGTAAGACCATGCTACATGCATTGTGGGTGAACTTTCAAATATTCGGTCCCATGGGTAAATGTCTTGGGAAGTGAGACTGACGGATGTGACCGTGCAACTTGCCGTAACTAGAGCTCCAATTAATTATTTAGAAATCGTAAGGAAGCCGCGTGTGTTCCCAAAGAGTAAATGTCTCGGGAAGCGAGGCTGGCCAGTGTGACCGTGCAAGAAAACGACAGCATTGAAACCACTCTTGACCACTCTTTTTATTTTTTAATTTTTTTTGATATTTGGGGATCAAATTTAATTGTTTAGAAAGAAAAGATCTATCGATCTAGGTAAGTTTGGGACAGATCCGAGGCCTATTAATTTTTCAAAAATACATTTGAAACACGATTTATCAATTGCATTTTTGAAAAATTAATAGGCCTCGGATTTGCTAAAGGCCTACCTAGATCGTTAGATATCTTCATTTGGACAAATTTGTTCGATTTGGTTCCCCATAAGCGAGAAAATTTAATAATAAAAAGAGCCCCATGTTCGAAGTTCCACTATTCACTTTGATTGCTAAGTGGTCGACGCTAATTTAACGGACATCAACAATTTCCTTATAACGGTGTAATCGCAGTTCAAATGCATTTCCTTCTTAGAAAATTCTAAAACTCCAAGTAAAACAAGGAAGAACGCTATAATCGCGTAGATATCCATCAGCTAAAGGTACCAAAGGGGACCACAACGAGATTGAAATGCGCCACCTACACACAGAACTAAGAATTATGGGCGCTAAAGTGGGTGTGGCAAACTTTTTTTTGGGTCGATCGATAGGTATTGACGAGACTAAAACATTTCAGTTAAAATTTTTTTCTAGCATGAAAATTGTGGGCGCTACAGGCTCAGGCGGCTTGTGGGCGTTAGAGTGGGCGTGGCATATTCGCGTGACAAACTTGCGCTGCGTACAAGGCTACGGAATCTAAATCTGAAATCCCAATTCTCTATCTTTGATAGTTTCTGAGATATCTGCGTTCATACTTACGATTTTTTGAAGTTAGTGGGCGGTTTGTGGGCGTTAAAGTGGGCCAACTTTTTTTTTGGTCATAGCTATTGATGAGAAAAATACGTTTCAGTTAAAATTTGTATTCTAGCTTCAAAACTGTAGAAGCCACAGTTTTGGTCGGTTTGTGGGCATTAAAGTGGGCATGGCACTCTGCTAAAACAAACTTGCGCTGCGTAAAAAGCTCAGGAATCTGCACGCCAAATCTCAAAAGCCTAGCTCCCATAGTTTCCGAGATCTCAGCGTTCATCCGGACGGACAGACAGACGGACATGGCTAGATCGACTCGGCTAGTGATCCTCATCAAGAATATATATACTTTATGGGGTCGGAAACGCTTCCTTCTACCTGTTACATACTTTCCGACGAATCTAGTATACCCTTTTACTCTACGAAGTAGGATCACTAGCCGAGTCGATCTAGCCATGTCCGTCTGTCCGTCTGTCTGTCCGGATGAACGCTGAGATCTCGGAAACTATGGGAGCTAGGCTATTGAGATTTGGCGTGCAGATTCCTGAGCTTCTTACGCAGCGCAAGTTTGTTTCAGTACAGTGCCACGCCCACTCTAACGCCCACAATCCGCCCAAAACTGTGGCTCCTACAGTTTTGATGCTAGAATAAAAATTTTAACTGAAATGTATTGGTCTCGTCAATACCTATCGATTGGTCTAAAAAAAATTTGCCACGCCCACTCTAACGCCCATAACGCTTAAATCTGTATACCGCCGGTAGGTGGCGCATTTTAATCTCGCTTTGCTACTTGCATATCTCTATTTAGCTGAGTAACGGGTATCTGATAGTCGAGGTACTCGACTATAGCGTTCTTCCTTGTTACTTTTTGAGCTAAGGAAATACCAAAAAAAAACCAGATTTTGCGAGTGAATTTCGATGAACGCCGTAGGCCGAGTGGGACTTCGCTCCCTACATGGACATCTTGGCGGGCGTGTCCTCGCAAAGAAGGTAAGATCTGGCCAAAAGAATTTGGTTACGTTGTACTAACAGAAGTATATTTTTAGCAGAACCACCAGTAATTCGAACTCCGACGACCTCTCCATTAGGACTGCGGATACCACCACCATCAGCTACTTGGCAGCTTATGCGGAGCTGGAGGACCCACTGCACCTATACAATTTCTAATGCGAAAAATAGACTGTTCGGAGCAGATCGCCAGCGCCTAGTCATGCGCGCATAGGTGTACGACGGCACCTGCATCGCTCTCTGCTTATCTTTCGCCTTCTTTCTTATACCCATAAAGCTGTCGCTTATCTATTCAGCAACTACTTTGTAAGCCTGCATATGTCTATATGAAGATCTTGGAGCCAAGCTTTTTACACATTAACAGTCCGTCTTCCGCTCCGAATAAACGCTATACATTTTAATATAACCTATTCGTGCGTTATTAATTATAAATATAAGGGTGGCATATTTGTTGTCTTCCCCACAAACATTTGGTGACCCCGACGTGATAGCAGTTTTAATCGGAGTCTGCAACTCGGTTTCGCGATTGTTTAATATAGTTTAAACAAACGCTTTGTTTCGCTGTCGTTATCGTGCATTCGGTCACAAACAAACGAACATACATACATATGTGCATATAAAAGTGCACAGCCGGCCGTTTGATTTTTTGTACATTTTGCGCTGTGAAAAAGCACCAAATTTGTGTTGTGCAAATAATTCTTAACAAAGTGAATCGCATTTAATCTTTGTTAATAGCGCATATTACATATATACATGTACATATAGCCATACATACATTCGTTTGCCAGTTACATAATCCGCTGTTGCTAGGCAGGCAATTTATCGGCAAGAACAACAACAACAAAGTTAAAGGTTCCGTTGCATCTCAGCGACGCTTGTTAACCTTCACGTTTTCGCGGTAAAGGGCATACGGTGTTTTGTGCCTCTAACGCGGTCGGACATTTTACTTTACTTCATTTTCATTTCATTTTTTTCTTTCTCGTGATTGAAAAATGTCTGATACGGAAAACTCGGTACGGGCTCAAAATGAATCCACAAGTGACGTCGACTACTACCAAGTCAAAGCCCAATCTATTTTGCGGCAAATGAGCTCGATGAAATGCTATTTAAACGCTGATGCGGTTAATCAGTTTGACGAATCTGATTTGCTGGCGCGAATGGAGTGGATCAATTCCTTAAACCAGGCATTTGATTCTGCGCAGACATCGTTGGAAAGACTGGACTTTGCAGAGATCTCGAGCGACCATCGGATTGAATTTGCTGAAGTCTTCATGGATGTGAAGGCGAAACTAAGCCGAGGCTTGGCGGCTCATCGCAAGTCACAATTGCCGGATTCAACCGCTGCAAATTCAACATCTATTGACATCACTAATAATGCGGATCTTTCTTTTCGATCTAGAAAGCCTCGGTTGCCAAATTTGGAAATTGCTCGTTTTCATGGATCCTACTCTGAGTGGCCGGATTTTCTTGCGACTTTCACTACGGTCATCGGAAATGATGATGAGCTAAGCGACATTGAAAAATTACAATATTTGCGTTCGAGTTTGGGCGGCGTGGCTCTGGAAACCATACGCTCGCTCGAACCCTCGAATGCTAATTTTAAAAAGGCTATGAATTTGCTGGTTAATCGATTTGATAATAAAGTTTTACACTTTCAGGCACATGTTCAGGCAATATTCGGTTTAAAGGGTGTCGAGAAGGGATCTTCGAAGGGTCTTCGGGAGCTGAGCGATTGCATGAATTCGCATCTGCGAGCAATTCGAACCCTGGCCAATACGCAACAAATTTTGGATGGACTTTTAATTCACATCGTCACTCGGAAACTGGATCAGAGGACGCGGGAAAAATGGGAAGAGGATTTGTCAATCACTGAGCTGTCTACCTGGGATGCTATGGAGTCGTTTTTGGAAAAGAGGTGCAGGATGATGGAAAACTTGGATCAAGCCTTGGTAACTCAAACACCAGGCCAGCAGGTGGGAAAAAACTTGCACAAATATAACCAAAATACACTTATTGCATCTGGTACTAACTCAAATCATTTGACATGCTTATTTTGCGATGCACGGGATCATTATTTGCCAAAGTGTCCTCGATTTTTAAATTTGAGTCCGAATATTCGATATAGAGAAGCAAAGAAGTTGCACCTTTGCCTCAACTGTTTGCGCAAGGGGCATAGTTTGCAGCAATGCAAGTCGACTCACTGCAAGTATTGTCGCATGAAGCATCATTCATTATTACACATGAACCATGACCCATCCGCAACATCAACCTCATTTTCATCTCCATCATGCGATCCATCCTCGAGCTCTCAGCCATTACCATCTACTTCATCAGCATTAGTATCATGTTCGCATACATCATCGCATCCTGATCATCATTTACCAAGCCCTCCACCCAAAGCCTTAAATATTTTGCCGATCGACTACGTGTTGCTTCCAACTGCTATTATCTACGTCAGAAATAGAATTGGAGCATTTATGCCTTGCCGAGCAATTTTAGATTCGGCCTCCCAGCTAAACTTCATAAACTCTCGCTTAGCCAGCCAACTAAACTTGAATCACAGAAGATCGCAAACGTCGATTTCTGGGATAGGAGAATCTTCCATGATCTCTGATAAGACTGTCGATATTCTTGTGCAATCACGGGATGCAAGCTATCGAGCGGCATTCACAGCGGTTGTGACTCACAGTATTACTGATTATCAACCCCATTTCAATATAAATGCAACATCGTGGAGGATACCGCAAAACATTTCACTCGCTGACCCTAATTTCAATCAATCACAACGAATTGACCTTTTACTCGGCGCTGGGTTGTTTTTCGAAATAATTTCTATGGGACAAATTCATTTGGATAGGGCTTTGCCAACTCTTCAGAACACCAAGCTTGGTTGGATAGTCTCTGGAGGGTTATCATCGAGCATGCCAACTCATAAGTCGGTTTTACAAGCCAGCATCAAGGACCCAGCTGATTATTCCGATGACACACTTTCCGCCATTGTAAAGCGATTTTGGGAAATTGAGGACTTCACTTCGTCTAAGCCATCTTTATTGCCGGAAGACTTGCGATGTGAGCAACTTTTTACTGAAAATTGCATTCGACTTGGAAACGGCCAATACTCTGTTCGTCTCTTGACCACTTCCGGATTCGAATCTTTAGGTGATTCTTATTGCTTGGCTCGTCCTCGTTTCAAGAGTTTGGAAGCTAAATTATATAGAAACCCAGCCCTGAAAGCTCAGTATTTAGCATTTTTGAGGGAGTATATCGACCTAGGTCACATGTCTCTTGTAACTAAGGAACCGCCAGAAACACAATTCTTTTTGCCCCATCATTGCGTACATAAGCAGGAAAGCACGAGTACGAAGCTTCGTGTCGTTTTTGATGGATCTGCTAAAACAACTTCTGGTAGCTCTCTGAACGACTTACTTCTGGCAGGACCAACAATTCAACAAAAAATCTTTAATATACTGCTTCGCTTTCGATTTTTTAAAGTTGCCCTTTGTGGAGATATCTGCAAGATGTACCGTTGCGTGCGTGTTTCGTACCCGGATGATTTCTTGCAGTGCATCGTTTGGAGAGAGAGCTCCAGGAAAGAATTGAGTGTTTTTAAATTGAACACGGTGACTTACGGAACCAAGCCAGCTGCCTTCTTGGCTATAAGGGCCATGCATCAACTCTCTTACGATGAGGAGGAATCATTTCCTATTGGAGCAAAAATTGTTCGTAGAGATTTCTATGTGGATGATTTAATATCTGGTGGGGACTCAGTTGAGGAGGTGAGAGAAATTCGTCGTCAGGTGAAGAAATTACTGTCGCGAGGCCACTTTCCAATTCGCAAATGGTGTTCGAATGAGTCAGCAGCCCTGAAGGGAGAGTCTGAATGCGACAAGGAGCAGTTAATCAAATTTCACGATGGATCGGATGTCGCCAAGGCATTGGGACTAGTCTGGGATCCATCTTCTGATCAGCTCCTATTTCATTTTTCTCAACTGCCAATCAATCAACGACCCACTAAGCGGGTTGCATTGTCGACGATTGCCAAATTCTATGATCCACTCGGTTTAATAACTCCTATTATCACAAAATCTAAGATTTTTCTGCAATCCCTATGGAGTGCGAACGTGGATTGGGATGATGCACTGCCAGAGCCCATTCTTTCGTCATGGGGGGAGTTGACCTCACAGTTATCGGTCGTACAGAACTTAAAATTCCCACGATTCGTACTGCAACCAATGGCTTCCGTTGAGTTGCATGGATTCTGCGATGCTAGCATGTCAGCTTATGGAGCGTGTCTATACTTGCGATCGGAGACCAATGGAGAATCGAAAGTCCATCTGCTCTGTGCCAAGTCAAGGGTAGCTCCATTGAAGGCCTTAACAATTCCAAGATTAGAACTTTCCGCAGCGCTTTTATTGGCTGAGCTAATCGTAAACGCCAAGGAAGCCATAGATTTCGATTGCACCTTTCATTGCTGGTCGGACTCGTCCATTGTGTTGGCGTGGATTCGGCAACCTCCGAGGGAGTTTAACGTTTTGGTATCAAACAGAATCGCGAAAATTCAGGAGATGACGAAAGACATGTCTTGGCATCACGTTCCTACAAACTTGAACCCGGCAGACGTCGTATCGCGAGGATGTACCCCAAGAGAATTGTTGGAACATTCCCTTTGGGCTAACGGGCCTCCATTCCTTCTGCAAAGCTCGTCAAATTGGCCGTCCCTGCTAGACTCAGTAAAGGATCTTCCAGAGCGCCGTTCTGTGGCTCTAATTGGGGCCGTTTGCATAGACAGTTCATCAAACTGCAAATTCCTCAACTCTTTCGATAAGTTGCAGCGCGTATTTGCATACATTTATCGATTCATTTCAAATTGCAGAGCCAAATCTGCGCCGTTAAAAGGTCGACTTTCGGTGGAGGAGATCAACTCTGGAACTGTACTTCTTCTGAGGAGCATCCAACAGGTTAACTTGGCGAATGAGTATGGATCTCTTAGCCAGGGCAAGCCGTTTCCACAGAAAAGCAAGCTGGTTTCGCTTAGACCTATACTCGGCTCCGATGGGTTACTTCGCGTGGGTGGAAGGCTTCAGAACGCAAACTTGGACTACGACACGAGGCATCCGATACTGTTGCCCAAGGATCATCCAGTCACCAAGGCGATCATCGTTTATTATCATGAGAAATATTTGCATGGAGGATCGCAGGCGCTGCTTGCCGCATTACGGCAAAGGTACTGGCCGATTGGAGGCCGCAAGTTCGTCGCCAGCGTTATCAACAAATGCGTCCGATGTTTCCGAATGAATATTTAAACCAATTTTAACGGACTAAATTTCTTTAACTTAACTAAAAAATTATTTTGTAATAATAATGTATAATACATAAACATAACATTATAAGTAAATTCAATTTACTTAATTTTACTATAATCAAATAATTTACTTTTATAAAACAATATTAGTTGTTTTTTTTCGATAAACAATAATGCTCCTAAAATATTAGGGCATTCATTCACATGCCGCTGCTTCACGAAAATTTTTCCGCCGAAATGTTAGTCGCTAGTCGAACATAACGAAGAGACGCAAAAGAAATAACGGACCGGCCGAAAGGCAGGCAGATTATAAGACAAAGAAAAAGAGGGAACCTACGAATTAATGCCTTTCTTTGTTGCACGACCGTTTTCGTAGGCAGTCTTCTACGCACCGCCGACTCCTCTGCTGACGTCAACAGCGGCACAACGTTTTAGGCACAAAACAAAAAACTAAAAAGCATTTTGCTTCAGACATGTCACCGCGTGCCTAATGCAGAACTGAGGGGCTATTTTCGAACAAAACAGTTTTCTTATTTGAGTTCAGCTTTTCTATAACTCTTTTATAGTTAAAACATAACATAAACATAACATTATAAGTAAATTCAATTTACTTAATTTTACTATAATCAAATAATTTACTTTTATAAAACAATATTAGTTGTTTTTTTCGATATACAATAATGCTCCTAAAATATTAGGGCATTCACATGCCGCTGCTTCACGAAAATTTTTCCGCCGAAATGTTAGTCGCTAGTCGAACATAACGGAGAGACGCAAAAGAAATAACGGGCCGGCCGAAAGGCAGGCAGATTATAAGACAAAGAAAGAGAGGGAACCTCCAAATATATGCCTCTCTTTGTTGCACGACCGTTTTCGTAGGCAGTCTTCTACGCACCGCCGACTCCTCTGCTGACGTCAACAGCAGCACAACGTTTTAGGCACAAAACAAAAACCTAAAGAGCATTTTGCTTCAGACATCTCACCGCGTGCTTAATGCAGAACTGAAGGGCTATTTTCGGACAAAATAGTTTTCTTATTTGAGTTAAGCTTTTCTCTCTTTTGTAGTTAAAAAAATTCGTTTCTGCCATTTCTGTGGCTCAATTTAATGTTTAGTCACTATTGTCTGCACAAACATTTTTTCGTAAAGAGGTATAAATTATTTCGTACTCGATTTCTGACAAACGGCCTGCTGTCCATATTAGTCCTCCATTCAGAGCGGCTATAATAGCCTTCATCACATTTAGATTTTTGTTTCTAAAAACAATTTTATAAAAAATTAATATTACCAAGCTGTTAGAATATATTTCATTGGATTTCCCTAAATTTTCCCTAAAATTTTTTCAATCAAGGTATTGAAGTTTCATATGAGTGCATTATAAAGTATAAAGGATAAAATTGTATCATTTCCTTTTAAGTAGTTTATAGAAGGAGGATAGACAATGAAAATGGCGTACTCGTCATATTGGAAATAAATGGTTCGCAAAATTTTGTTCTGGAGATTTTAAACCCAAGAACAACCACGTCGAGGACACTTTTTTGACCTTGATGACGGTTCTGTACGCTTCTTTATTTGCGAATAAGCTTAGTACTCACATCGACGAAAACCGCGAGCTAACCATACGAGTGAGCGAGAGGCAAACACGCGGCTAACGCTTTTCGTCGGGTCTGTTTTTCAGCGCGGTACTCAGATGAGCTAAGGAAATACCAGAAAAAAAACAGATTTTGCGAGTGAATTTCGATGAACGCCGTTACCCGTGGTAACGGGCGTGTCCTCGCAAAGAAGGTAAGATCTGGCCAAAGAATTTGGTTACGTTGTACTAATAGAAGTATATTTTTAGCAGAACCACCAGTAATACGAACTCCGCCGACCTCTCCATTAGGCTACTTGGGATTCGTGCGTGGACATCCTTACAAAGAAGATGGGTTTGTTGTCAAACGGAAAAGAAATCAGTTGCAGAAATTTAAGAAGGTGGAGTCTCCTGGTACACAAAGAAATTACAATAAAAATAAATGAAATGTTCAACGAATGTTTTTATTTATGTAAACTAGTAGTTTAAAGCTTCCTTTTCGTCCCACGGATGCTTCGCCATCTTTCCCGCGCCACCGCAGTCGAGCTCCAAGTTTTAATGGTCATATTGGACCTTGAGGAAGTGAGAGTCGGATTGGGAAAGGGGTTGATACGCTGATACTGCAGGAATTCGCCCAGCACCCTGGCAAAGGCTGGCTATGGCTCCTTCGATGGCTTCAAGTGCCGGGCATGGGGGTGGGGATGGAGGTTCGTCCGCATATGGCCCTTGTGCGGGTAGCCCAGGTACCTTTATGAGTACCGAGCGGACGTCGATGCGCATGAGCGACGCGTGTCCGGCGTATCTGCACACCTGGTCCTCGGTCGAATGGTGGTAGAAGTGTTCTCAGATGGCCGGCCCGGGGATCGCGCCTGGTCCACTGGTAGTCCTCCTCCGATTCAGATTGTCGCGACTCGGAGTAGTACGGCTCCCCGGGCCGTCGTCCTTGGGGATGACCGTATGGTGAGCTGTATCCAGAGCGAGGGGGTCGGCTGAATCGGTCAGCATCGTGGTCGCTGGCGCTAGCCTCGTCGTCGTCGAGGCGGTACGATGCTGGTTGGGGCGACGTTGGCTGGTAGCATCGCCGCGACTCCCCGACTCCACAGACCTCCGCGAAGTCCAGCAAAGTGTGGGTCGCCGGGGTCCTGGGAATCGTCGCCGTCCATTCCCATTGAGCTGCCTTCGGCTTCACCTTCGGAGGTGGGGGACTCCTCCTCTTCTTCTTCACGGCCGTCCCCGTAGTTTGCTCCCGGGTAGAAGGCCTCGATGTCGCCGGAGTCGTCGGATACCATGATTACCTCGTCCATCTGGAATATTAGTCTAGACTTGTTGGTATAACCCTACCTTCTAAACTCCCGTGTGTAGCTAAAATAGGACCCGTCAATCTTAACCTAACCTACAAGCATTGATCTTAAAACTATTCCGCGGTTCCGTGCGCTTACCGTGCCGGGTTACTCGCCCTGGTGATGCCGTCGTCGATTGTGTCGTGGGTGTCTACCGCATAGTAGGGTTTAAGCTGTGATATATTGGCGATCCGTCGCCGTCGGTCTCCCGGGCGCCGCAGGCGAACCAAGTTTGTAGACGTAAACTTCGCGACGGTATAGGGACCGTCGTATTTGGGAGCGAGTTTTGGCGGCGAATCCCTCAGCAGCCTTCGATAAGGGATGTTGTCGCAGCCACACTTGACTCCCTAGCGTTGGTCTCCATTCGCGCCTTCGAAGGTTATAGTGCCTCGCCTGCTCTAGAGATGCTCGTTGTAGATTCGATCGCACGATGTCGAAGATTTCTTTGAGACGCGACGCCTTGTCTTCAGGACCTGTATGTAAGACCCCCGACCCAGGGGTAAGTTCGTCGTACAACATCGCAGGCAGGCGTAACTGCGGGAGTATATCCCGTCGAATCCGATATGCTACTATTGATAGCGAGAGAAATCTCGGGCAACATACTATCCGAAGAACTTTGGTCGTCTTCCGACAGCTGAGATATCAGCGTCTTCACTGTACGATTGGTCCTCTCGGTGGGATTCTCCTGCGGACAATACGGAGCCGTGTACTGGACTTCCACGCCGAGTTTAGCAAAGTAGTCTTTTAGGGCCCGACTTGTGAACTGGGTTCCATTGTCGCACACGAACTTCCGGGGGACGCCCACTCGCCCGAGTATACGTTCCCGAAACGCTTTCTGTACCACAGCGGCGGTGGCTTTCCGGAGTGGGATCAACTCTACCTATTTGGAGAACACGTCGTGGAAAACAAGAAGCATAGAGTTTCCCTGTTTCGAACGGGGCAGTGGACCCACGAAGTCGGCACAAAGAATGTCAAAGGATTCGCTTACGACGCGGGTTAGCATTTTCCCTACTGCTTTGATCTGAACGGTCTTAAATTTCTGGCACGAATCGCAGTGTCGAACGTGGTGTTTTGCGTCGCGGTACATGCCGGGCCAGAAATATCTTTGTGACAGGCGGTTAATCGTCTTTCGGACCCCCAAGTGTCCTGCGGTCGGGGAATCATGACACTCGTATAAGACGCGGGCTCTATGAGGAGTGGGCACACAGAGTTTCCACGGGAAGTAGTCCTAGTCCGTGAACTTCTCAGGCTCGTCGAGTACCTTGTTCTTCATCTTACCGATCCACTCGCAGTGGTCCTCGAGCTCGACAGCGCCTTGAAGTACCTCACAGTTCTGTCGCGAAAGCGTATCGGCCACGACGTTCAGCTTCCCTCGTCGGTAATGCACGTCGAATTGGAACTGTTGCAGTTCTAAAGCCCAGCGCGCTATTCGTCCGGAAGGACTCTCTCGTCGCCGTACGACGTAGCAGCCCAATCAGAGGGGGGACGAGTTTCGACGACCCCAGCTACGTTTTCTCAAGGGGTCCAGACGTCCCCAACAAGAGAGGACCATCCGCAGGAGGTGTCCCACCAGGGAACCCAAACTAGTGATGTAAATTTGGGTCGAAACATCGATGTCGATCTTCATTCAGCAGCCTTTTTCATTACATCATTACATTACTAAAACAAAAACCGCGAATTTGTCTGTGCGGCACTGAAACCATATGTTCTGCAATGTTGTGCGACTCGACGCCCGATGTTTTGGTTAAAAATCGATGCATCGATAGACATCGGCATAACATAAAACATCGAAAAACATCGCCGAAAAATCATCGATGCTCGATGCATCGATGTTTTTTTACATCACTAACCCAAACCTCGTCGCCCAACCGGCAGGACCTACGCCGCTTGACCCAGACGTCCGAGATACGGGTGCCTTACGACGAGGGGCCTATGAGTCCGAGACGCGACGTCGAAGTCTCAACACCGATCGTTCCGTGTTCCGAGTATCTGGCCGGCTTCGAGTTGGTCACGGACACCGAGGACGATGAAGAAGAAAGGCCCCTGTTTCGCCGTTCCTTTGTGGCGTCGCCGCAGCAGGACCAGACGGCCGAGACCATACCCTCCAGAGTCTACGTCGAACGTTCTCGCCCGGAGAGCGCGAGGATCCTTTGGTCCACGACGCGAGAAGATGGGAACCCCCAACGAGCCCCCAGTTGCGCCCACCCTGGCGAACCACTTACCGAATGGGAGAATCAGGTGCTTGAGCAAGTCCTCACGGATCTGTCGGGAGTTAGGTTCCCCGAGCCTACCGTTGACACCAACCACACCAACCGATAGTTCATCAAGACATGTTAAATACTAGAAAAGCAAAGGAGTTAAAATACCAGTAGTAGGAAAATACTAGAAATCCCGAATAGAGGAAAAGGCCGGAAAACGAGGGAGGGTCACGCGGCGATCGTGGCGGTTCGCTTCTCTCGGGATCGCGGAACGGAAAAGACGTGCGATTCGGACACGGCTTAGCGGGGTTTCGAAAGTCACGCGTGCTCCTCGAGACCGCCAACTGGAGGCGATCAAATTCTACGGAGTGGCCACGCGGACGATTACAAGACACACTTATATATATAAGTAAGTCAGCTGAGGTTAGTACGATCAGATTCTTATGTGTTCAAAACGGTGTAGCGGACCCGAGTGAGGACAAATTGAATAAACAAAAAAAATATCTAAATGCACCTCTCGATCGTGTGTTTCCTTCTCGTAGTCAGGTACCAAAGCTAACCTAACTTTATCCCGCTCACCCCGCTGCTTCGGACCTGGATGTGGACCCCCTTCCCGTCCGGTCCAGTAGTTTTCCTACCCCCGTAGTTTTGGGATTCGTGCGTGGACATCCTTACAAAGAAGATGGGTTTGTTGTCAAACGGAAAAGAAATCAGTTGGAGAAATTTAAGAAGGTGGAGTCTCCTGGTACACAAAGAAATTACAATAAAAATAAATGAAATGTTCAACGAATGTTTTTATTTATGTAAACTAGTAGTTTAAAGCTTCCTTTTCGTCCACGGATGCTTCGCCATCTTTCCCGCGCCACCGCAGTCGAGCTCCAAGTTTTAATGGTCATATTGGACCTTGAGGAAGTGAGAGTCGGATTGGGAAAGGGGTTGATACGCTGATACTGCAGGAATTCGCCCAGCACCCTGGCAAAGGCTGGCTATGGCTCCTTCGATGGCTTCAAGTGCCGGGCATGGGGGTGGGGATGGAGGTTCGTCCGCATATGGCCCTTGTGCGGGTAGCCCAGGTACCTTTATGAGTACCGAGCGGACGTCGATGCGCATGAGCGACGCGTGTCCGGCGTATCTGCACACCTGGTCCTCGGTCGAATGGTGGTAGAAGTGTTCTCAGATGGCCGGCCCGGGGATCGCGCCTGGTCCACTGGTAGTCCTCCTCCGATTCAGATTGTCGCGACTCGGAGTAGTACGGCTCCCCGGGCCGTCGTCCTTGGGGATGACCGTATGGTGAGCTGTATCCAGAGCGAGGGGGTCGGCTGAATCGGTCAGCATCGTGGTCGCTGGCGCTAGCCTCGTCGTCGTCGAGGCGGTACGATGCTGGTTGGGGCGACGTTGGCTGGTAGCATCGCCGCGACTCCCCGACTCCACAGACCTCCGCGAAGTCCAGCAAAGTGTGGGTCGCCGGGGTCCTGGGAATCGTCGCCGTCCATTCCCATTGAGCTGCCTTCGGCTTCACCTTCGGAGGTGGGGGACTCCTCCTCTTCTTCTTCACGGCCGTCCCCGTAGTTTGCTCCCGGGTAGAAGGCCTCGATGTCGCCGGAGTCGTCGGATACCATGATTACCTCGTCCATCTGGAATATTAGTCTAGACTTATTGGTATAACCCTACCTTCTAAACTCCCGTGTGTAGCTAAAATAGGACCCGTCAATCTTAACCTAACCTACAAGCATTGATCTTAAAACTATTCCGCGGTTCCGTGCGCTTACCGTGCCGGGTTACTCGCCCCGGTGATGCCGTCGTCGATTGTGTCGTGGGTGTCTACCGCATAGTAGGGTTTAAGCTGTGATATATTGGCGATCCGTCGCCGTCGGTCTCCCGGGCGCCGCAGGCGAACCAAGTTTGGAGACGTAAACT